TCAGCTACTCTCCACCAATGAAGATGGAACTTTTTACTCTGAAAATTGTGAACATATGAACTGCTATTCCCACCAGATTTCATTTAGCTCAAAATCTTGTCTCCACTGACAGGCAATAGCATATGCTATAGAGAACAAGAGGAGAGCGAGCACGCAGTGATACTTCCCAGTGCACTCATCAGCAACTTGTAGCTCAGAGACCTCCCAAGCAGAAGTATTATCTTCTCTAAAAGCAGTCTCTGATGGATTTTTGTAGCATTTGGAACAGAATGATGAGGAAAAGAAAGTCTAAGGCTGTCTGAGCCACAGAGGCCATCGCTAACCACCACAAATGCCATCCTCTTTTAAGATAGCATGCGATAAGGGTCTTCTGACACCTGCTACTTCCATCAGAAGGTTCCTCTGATCTTACCACTCCAGCTAAACCATTCCCAACCACCTCCAATGTCACAAGAACTGGCCAGGCACAACTTTCCACATCATTTGTCCCAGGTATTAAAGGTGATATATGTTACCTTAAATCAAGTGCCTGTAAAACCCCAGCAGAACCCAGGTGAGAACCAGCCAGCGTCCCACCACAGTCCTGCCTGGTTTCCTCATAACTCCCTTGGTGAACAGCCCACCCAGAGCTCTGGTTCCCAAAGAAACCCAGCAGCAGACAACAGGCAGTTATGATTCCCCATGGAACTTCAGTGGGAAATATGTCCACACCTAACTTTAATGGTAGAAAGACCCTTGAAGGTGCAGAATTATAACAATCAAAGAAAAATGATTTAGGAAAGCTGAAGAGAAAAATAAAGAGGGAGGGGGGTGTGTGTCAGGCAATCTCATCTAAAGTGAAAATTTCCCAGCGAAGAGGTGGTACCTGCTAACCACCCTGGCTCTTTTGGATGGCAGCAATGATTCCTCTCATAGGAAACACCATTCTTCAGCAAGGAGACACAGAAAAAGGAGCCTCTCCTTCAGAAATTCAAGGGAATGGAGAAGAAGTACTGAAATGAAACAAATCATTTGAGGATGTCCACAGGAAAGTTTTTGAGGGATATCTGTTTGATTATTATACAATAATCTCCATGGGAAGTATTAAAGCCCCCAAAAGCATGAGAAACGTTAAACCATGCCAGAGAGTAATGAAAATAAACTCTAAAGTGCTTTTCTGCTCTGGTCTCCAAGGACAGCTATCTAATCTCTCACATCTGCCGTATGGCAAGGTACTGCTCCATCTAAATGCGGGGAAATCAGCCGAGACAACTTCCACCTAGATTTCAACTTCCCCAAAGAAAGAGCATTTCTTTGGTTAGTACACAATTGCACTGCCTTATCCCCAACTTCAAGTTCAAACCCTTATTAAAAAAAAAAAAAGACACAAAACCAAACACAAGAGTTCTGTAGGACTTTAGTAAGCCTTCCCCCCCATTCATTTCCCTTCCCACCTGCCTGAGGACACTCCATCAGGTGTCTCAGCCACCCCTAAAGCCCTGAACACTCCTCTCCCACCATGGTCCAGCACTTGCCACCTTCCTTCCAGCTCCTCCTCTAACAGAGGCTCACAGCCCCAGTTACAGCAGATGTTTCCTCACAGATCCAAATAAACACACATGCAACTATTTCAACAGAACAGTTAAGACACAGGCAGAAGATCTACTTTCTGAAAAGCTCACCTACCTAACAATAAAACTTTTTTAAAAAAAAAAAAAGGAAAATCAGTTCAATACTAAGCTGTTCCACATGGGTCCTTTTTATTACTTCCTCACTATTCTTCATATCAAATATTACTGACCATTAGCAGACAGCCATATGTACCACACAACTCTTCAACTTAGCCTTGGATATTAATGAGAAGCCCAAAATAGTAAAATACAGTTTTCTTAGTTTGCATACCCAATTTAAAATTCACAAAAAAACATAACACTATTCAACCTTTTCCAGCAGTCAAAGGAAAGAAAGTCAAAATAAGATTCAGAAATAAGCTGCACAATGCCATACAGGGATCGCCATCATAACCCATCATGTCAGTGCCCCTTTAAAGGACACTTTAGGGCATGTTCTCTTGAAATATTAATAAATGTGAGTTAAACCTATTCTTCCCTCTGGCAGCACTTAAATTACTCCATATGCCTAAAATGTCATACTGCTTTCCATCTTCTAACAATTCCTATAATAATATTTTCAATCAACACAGACAAGTCTACAACAAAATAACAGAGCCCCACAATCACCTACTTCCAGACACTTGCATTTTTCCCCCCAATTCCCCGTTCCTTCCGCTTTTGACAAAAATGGGCATTTGGAGGAAGAGCCATATAAACCACAAAGCCCAACAGTTATCCTTCATACGCAGCACTAGGAACTAATTTGCAGAAAGTCCTCCAACTGAAGATTAGAACAGAAGTATTTGTCTTGAGCTGATACTTTTGTCTGCCAATCAAGCATGTATTTTAAGACAAATCCTGATGCCAACTGCAGCACACGCACTGTAATCTTTCCTACAGCATTCTGTTTAAGAGTATATATTTAGAGAGTTTTATCTTAACCAATACTTTCTATTTTAAGTTTTCTTGTATGCAATAAAGGGAATTTCTCCTCATTTTTAACAGCTAGAGTTCTATACTATAGACTTTGATATATTCTCGGTCCTCCAGTGCTCCTGTCAAGGTAGTATTATACATTATAATTAAAATAATTACACTTGGCAAATAAGTGAATTAAGTGCAGTGTGGAATGTGTTCTCTCTTTTCTTTCTTTTCCAAAACTGCTCAGATGTCCATCGGTTTGCAAATTTAGTCTGCTCCACCAGTCATTACCATGAATTAGACAGAGCTTCTTCCGAGTACAATTCTGCAGGAACTAAACGTGGCGAGATGGTACATAGGCTTCCACCCAATATTAGCTAATTTAATTCCTTGTAAACTTCTGACCCACTGGATTCACACACTCTGTAGGAATCATGCATAGTAAGCCAGATCACTTATTAAACAGGCACAAAACATTGCTCAATTCCTTTGAAGATACTAATCTGCACACATACGTCTTCCTAACAATGTACTGGAAAAGAAGGCTCCTGTATCTGTAACTCCAGCACATCTTTCTTTAAAAGACTTTAAAAAAAAAAAATAAGAGGTGCATGCCATGTAACTTTGGAACTTGTTCCAAGCAAACCAGAGTTTAATAAAAGAGAATTCACTTACTCATGATCAGTAATCACTCAGTTTAATTACAAGCTTTTAACGTGACTTGCCACAGTTATTAGCATACTACAGAAAGGATCGGCAGTAGCAACAGAAACAAAAATCCCGAGGGCAGATTATTTCAGTGTTATTAGGAAGCACCACCCCAGGATTTCTACCACACGGACAGTTTTTAACAGCTCAAAGACAGGTAGATGTTGCACAGCGATGACAGATTCTTTGGCTTCAGTCCTGAAAACACAGAATGCAAATACAGCTATTCCCTGTTGTTACACTACTCGGGTAACACGCTCGCTGCTACCACTCGCAGACCACAGATTCTCTCCTGCACCAAGGAGATGAGATGAAAACAAATCGCACTTCCAAATCCTGGATTTTACCGTGTATTTGTAAAAAATGATCATAGAAACATCACTGCAGTCCTCTATCAGATCATGTCACTGTTGAACCTAGGGCACTTTGAATGTGTTTTACATGAAACCCGTACGTGCAAGCTTTGTCTTGCACTAACCAGCAGTGGTTTTAAATGCTGAAGTTGAATATATATGAAATATTAAAGAGTTCCTGCCATCACAGTCCTCAAAGAACTCACCCATTTTAAGGGAAAACAATTTGCAGTACCCTGTAGGAAACCACTTAAACATTTGTTTCAGGCTTACTACCATTTTCACAAAACACCTATTTTAAAATATCCTGAAAAACACCTTTGTTGATTTAAAAAATATTCATATAAAAATTGACCTTGAAAGTGGGTTAGAGAGAGACGAACATCAGCATCACCAACAGAAAACCTGACAAAACACTTAGGTGTTATTACACATTTATCTGCCACCGTGCTCTGAGCCTTGTAGGGACTCCATCAAACCAGACAGTTCGGCTGTTCAAAGTACCTGAACAAACACAGCTTGTATTTTATTTCAGAATGGGGAAAAAAAAAAGTGGGTTGGGGGGTTTGTTTCTTTTCTTTCACCCTGTGCGTTTAAGAGAACTTCAGCCTGTTCCAGCCCAGCCCCTCACAGGAGGGGGGGGGGGGGGGGGGGGGAGCCCAGGCCCCAGCTCCTCACCTGGCCACCTCAGGGGGTGCCCCCACGGCGGGGCTCTGGCTGAGGGACACGGGACCAGGACACACGCCTCACCTCACACCCAGGACCGTGGCGGACCCACTCACGGCGTGTTTCTCGCCGAGGGACCACAACCTGGACCCACT